ACGCTGTGGTCTCATACAAACTTTGTAATTACATACAAACTAAGCAAATTACAAATTAGGTCATCTTACTGCGCGATATTGTTCCAAGTAATAATGTTGCACACTAAACAGATTTATTGATAGACGAGATATTAATTCGACTTACAATTTTACGCAAGATTTGTATAAAATATTACCAACTTAAATGAGTGAAAAATAGTGATGATTCTATTTAACCTTCAACTTTCGTACAATATTAAAGTAAATAAATGAACTTTCATTACCGGTCCAATGACAGTTAATCTAAGTTCAAACAAAGCGCGGCAGTCGAAAGAGGACAGTGACGCTTTCACGGTGCGCGACACATCCAGCCACCGTGACACTGCCATCCGCCATCTATTATGAAATTCAAACTTTATACGAGCTCGTCGTTTTTGTCCACTGCGATCGAAGGAAAGCTAGCGCATGGATGCAAAATTAAAAACTTCTGTCCTTACTTTTAAAGAAAAATTAGATTTTCCAGGGAGTAAACATTAGAAGGGGGTATTATCCTCTTACTGTACGTCTTTTTTGTCTAAAACTAGGCAACGCTTTTGTAATTGTCTATGAACAGTGATCGCTAATACCTTAAACACCATTCTAATCGCTCTGGTACCTTAACCTGTGTTTTGCGTCTCATGTGAAATTTCGAGCCGCCATAAATTTTGCGTAGCAATATACCTTTGCACTCGCTATTGTGCCTTATGCAACATTTCCGCTAAACGAACAATTCTATTCAAAGAAACCACCGTTATGTATCGCTGAATCGGTTGCGCTTGTTTATGGTTTTTAGAACACTGAAAACGATATGTCCGACCGAAATTAGACTACCATTTTCTTTCATTGTTTTGAACATTAAACTGAAGAAATTTTATCATAATTTTTTTTGCATTTTCTATAAAAAAGTCTTTGAATATTCTACATAGTAATGTGAAATGAAGCTACACTATATACTACGCTATATTTATAACCGTTAAAATAACCATTGTTAGCGGAGCAAAAAATTAAGAATGATAGACAGGTGCTAGAAGTTCGCCATAGATAAGGCAAACTGGTACACTGAATACATTTACAATCTATTTTTAAGTCGTGCAACATCGCTAGAACGTTGCATTGTAGTCGGCCGGTGGTTTTGCCGTACTATGTAAACAGTAAACGTCAAAAGGATGTGCATGGGATATTTAGCTCACACGTGTAAGCCACGTGATCAAGAAGTTTACAAAAAAATGCCTATTAATTTAGTTTAATAACGTTACTGTTTTATTCGATTTTTATTGGAACATATTTAAATTGACATACAAACCAGACGCTTGAATCTTTAGAGAATTTTTTCCAACTGTAAACAAAGTTAAGGCGGAATTAAAAGTCGAAATGTACACATTAAATCAAAATGGAAATTGCAAGAAAACGTAGATAAAATATTTTATTTTGTTCCGACGCTTTATTTGTTGGTCTAGAAATAAGTTACTGTACTATTACATTATTTTCAGAAGGCCGGTTGTAATTACGTCGAGATGTCGCCGTAATGAGAATTACATATAGAGTTGAAGGCGACAGAGGCGACATCGTGGATAGCACAGACTTTCCACTTAATTTACGTAAATTAAGACTCGTCAAGTAACCAGCCCAGACTAGTTTAAAAAACTTTTTTAAACTTGTTCTTGATCACCTAATGTCTTAACGAAATCAAACTATAGCTGTCGTAATGTACAAAGTACTCTTACAGTATGCCAGCCTATGGTATATTAAGTTTTTGGTTGTCAGTCAGACAACGCTGAAAAATAAACTTTATTACTTTGGCAGTAAATGCATCAAATAGGCAATAAAAACGCGTCCCGACGACCCGCCGCGAAGTCTGATTATTGGGATCAAAATAAATATAAATTGGACACTTCAATAAAGTCAACCGGGTCAATATCAGACTGTATATTAAACGAGCTGTACGCGAAACGAATATAGCCAGTAGATAAATCATAAAACAACGGTGATGTTAGCACTAATAAGGCGACGCACCCTGTCTAGTTCATTTTTATAACGGCCATCATACTATCCCTGGCTCGATTGTTATTAGAAGTAGCACTTGGAATAAGTAATTTGTTCATAGTTCGACCGGCGCGTTGTAGCGATGTGCCTAGCATTGTGATCACGTTTGGAGCACAGCGGATGTTAGAGGTGTGTGACCAGATTGCTTGATAAACGTACTCGACGTTCCTCGAACACCAGTTAATGTGTACCTGTTCTCGGGACCAGATACCTCTACCTTGCGTTTTGAAATTTTCAAATTTTGATTAATGATTTATTACTGAGATAAAAAAATCACTTTAAAATCGGAAATTGCTGACCCGAAAGAAAGACGTGCCGATCGATAAAAGTTTCTCAAAATAGATCCTTATTTAAAAAATCAAAACGGCGCAGTACGGGGACGACGCAATGACCGCATGGACAATGTTCAGTTGGAGAAGACTATACAACGGTAGAATGGAGACGGTGGAAGATTCGAGGGTTGAGCTGCCGGCAGACACCAGGCAGCTGGTGTACAATGTCTACGTGTACTTCAGTCGGCGCCCAGGACGGAGTTCTAAGGCATCCATATCGAAGACCGCGCGAGCTACTATGCTTCCGAGAGACATCGTTGCTGATATCATCAGAGACAAATACCGGGACTGTGACACATTTAAAGGGTAGCATCAGAGTGATAGCAAGCGGCAACATCCTATCAGTTCATCTGATTGTTATGTGACCAATACTGGAATACATATCGGAACAACTGGAAGTGATACAACATAATGTATGAAACAGATATGGAATGTAAAGGAGAGTGGTAAAGAAACAATCATGTAAAGTTTTGTAAATAATGTGGAATAAGAATGCAGAGTAATAAATAAGCGAAGATGAACATGTAATATTTTCATCATATCAACTCATTATGTAAGGTGAGTCTAAATTCTTATCTTCTTAGATAATATAATGTAATAAAACTATTTAGTTTGTTTGTATAAAGTATAAAAATTGTGACATCAAATGTTATATTCCAGTGTTTATTTAAGACTTATTGCGGCGGCTTCGAGGCTTAAAGCCATTGTTTGCTGACAAGCGATATGGTAATTCGATATAAAAATAAAACCAAAAATAAATGTAATTGAAATACTGTTAGTTAAGTGGATATTAAAAAATAAAAATTGTTGTAGATACCTATACCATGACGTGTGTTTACGTAAGTTTCTTATGTTAGATTACTTAGTTAATTCTAATTAGTATGTGTAATTAGATGAAATCTATAAAGGTGAAATTGGTTACCATAAAATTGAACTAAAAAAAACCTATTATTTTACTATTAATTTTTGCACTGTCTTGGAAATAATTTCATCTGTTAACAATTTATTTGACATTGACGTTGACGTTTATTAGACGTACAAATATTTTAATATTTACAATAATAATACAATATTTTAATTGACATAGATTTAAAAAGTAACAAATTCATTTGTTCAGTTGTTTTAGATACATATTTTTAAATGAAAGCAAGTTAATTTACGTCACATCTCACCATATCAGGAGATTGCACATCTTATTTGTTAATGTATAAAGAGCTAGTGTTGACTATGATCTCATTCAAATATACTTGTAAATATAATATACTTATTATATGTATCTTTCGAAAGACATTCTCTCGACATTGTAAACTGAGAATTAAATTTAAGTATAAATTTATTTAAGTATTTAATAAATTAAAAAAATTGGGTTTTAATATATTTATTTAAAAACATCCCGTTATAATTAGTTCCAAGTTATTTTACTTTGACACAAATGAGAAGATGAGTTCGTAAAATGATATACGCCTACTGATTAGCAATAGCAATGTCGTTTATTAAGGAATTTAGTCGTAGAATAATATTAGATTCCACTTATCTGTTAATCCAGTGATACTTTGCTGGATTTATTTTCAAATAAGAAAACGATGTACATTTAAATAGATTTTTAAATTGACACACAAGAGGTGGGCCTTATAATTTGTATTTAAAAGTAAATAACAGACGCGAATAAATACATATCAAAGACCTTGAATTAGTTAACAGTGTAGAATTCATTTAAATATTGAAGAGGTGGTTTTAATTTGTTTTTAAAGGTTTACAATTTGTACATTCGTCTTTTACGGCATCAACATACCAATCTGATGAATAATGCACTCGATCGTTACCTCTGTTCAAAACAAAAAAGTTAAGAACAAAGAAGGCAACGGCGCATAAAACTGAGCCTGATTCGTAAATAAATTAACGGCATTAGAGATGATTAAAGGTCCGTAGGACGAAAACTCAAACAGTTTCCTTCTTCCGCACTTATTTAAATTTATAAATGTTGTAAAAGCAAACAGTTTTTTTTTTGCATAATTTGAGTCTTTTTTATTAATAGTGACCAAAACGTCAAACCAACTGACTTCTTAAGGTCACCATTGATTTTTCATTCATATGAATACAGATGAAATGTATTTATTTAAATTTACAGACGTCAGTACAATTTCAAGGAAAATAAAATACTTTCTGGACCAATGCAATGAAAATAAGCTGAGTACTTATCACATTATTTGAAGTAAAGCTTTATTTAGTTTGTGCATTAAGATGATGATAAAAGGCAGAATAAAAAAAAGTAATTAAAACCGTTAATCCCTAAATGTACATTACGTCTAGTTATATACAAAGATATACAAACATACTTACATTATATCATAGCATTTTTAGCTAAAATAATAAAATTCGTACGTAAAACAAATAAAACCCAAACCTCCCGTCATTTTACATAACAGAACCAACTATTTTGACAGACTTCATGTTATAGCGGGTAAACTTTTTGCCATCTTTACCACTCTACCATTGAAGGAAAAATGTTTACTTTTACAAACCAAACTTCATTGAGATGTTGAAATTTACACATAAATGGTCTTAAAAGAAAAACTTACTAATTAAATCAACAGAAAAATTACTCACGTTTCTTCAAATTAACACCATCATCTGAAACAATCACAATTCACTCTTAATATGATAAGGCACACGTTCACAATCGAATCGAGATTAACATTTAATACTATAATTAGCTACGGAAAATCGCGTTACTTCGGTGATCGGCTGCTTGCCAAGAAACACATCGGCGTGTGTATACTTCACTAATTACACTACTGCACTGACTATTTTCAGGTGCAAACACGTGAACCAACTCCGCTGATTCACTGATACTTCGTCAACCACACCACATCGAAGGTTACAAGTGATCCGCTCTAAAAGCGGTCGTGCGTTAAAACAAGTTTGTGGTTTACTTTTGAACATATTTTAGAGTTCATATCCGTGACTGACGTCAAATTAGCTTTACGTTTTCTACATGTTAATGCACTATTGAAATGAAGACTCAAATATTATCGTGAGATCTTTAATGGTTTTGAGAAGAGATTAAAATCGTACTTTCCGCAACATAATGGTTGTTGATACTCTCTGTAGAGCATGTCCTAATCATTTATGAAGTATATTAGACTTAGGACTTACAAATATTAACAAATGTACACTAATAAATCTGAATAAAAATAGGGCTAACTGAATTACGATTCCCATTGCCTCTTTACCGCATTATGGTAAAAAGATCGCCTCTGATTGCGTTCATCTTCATTCATAGAATGCACATAAAGTAACATAAATTCTTAATAAAGACTGCTGAGTATTGAATGAGTAAGGCGTGGGAGGCAAAAGTGGGCGTTTGCTTACAAACTGCTATCATAAAATTTGGAAAATAAATTTGTCGTTTATTAGTGGGTGTATTTTTTGGGAAGAACGGAAATGGGAATACCATGCGTACTTTATTAATTTACAACAGCTTTTAGAATATTTCCTCATCGAAAGTGAATAACACATTTGTTTTAGGTAGACTGGTAATCAGTAAACGGATGGGGTAAAGGCGGGCGTTTCAATACCACTACAAAAACTTCTTCCGTTTTTTTTTTTTATTATAAAATGTTGGAAATTCTATACATATATTTAGAAAGAAATGAAATCTGTCGTAATATTTTATTTCTCATTGTATAACTGGGAACATTCTTAGTAACACCGTGCCCTTCAAACTGGAAATAGTAATGTTTGCGAAATGTTGCTGATAGAAATAGACAGTAATTACTACCCACGTCACTTATTTCTTGAAACATACATAGATATGTATGTGCATGACAACTGTATATTTATACTTAATATTATGAAGAGGAAATATTTGTATTTTTGATCTATTTAATTCACGCAAAAACTACTGGGCCGATTTTAAAAATTCTTTCACCATTAGAAAGGTAATATATCTGTGAGTAACATAGGCTATATTTTGTATTATTTTTTAATTTCATGCGGGCAGAGTCGGAGCAACAGATAGTTTTGTATAAAGTTTTAAAGATCAATGCCATTGAAATAACATTTTATGCTACTGCTGTTAGGGACATCATTCAGAAGTTAATATCAATAGGTTTTCTACTACATGCGAATTGTAAATACATTTTTACTTTCAAGTTATACTTATAAGCATAGAAAACTTTTAACACTAAACTTTAAACACTACACTACACTTTAAAACTTTAAACACTACTTTGTGGCGTAAGATATCGGCAATCACAGCATGTTTTTGAATAATTATTTTTCTAATTAAAAGTCCTACACTTACGTCGCGCTTTAGGCTATATATATTTACGCTATTAAACTAAGGGGGTTAATAAATTCGATAAAAAACTAATGTGAATAAGCTACAAGCTGCCAACACCAAGGAAGAAGGATTGCAATGGATTTTGACACTTGCAATTGATAATTTAAGAAATGTAAACAAAATAATAGAATTTACATAATTTCATGCGTGTGAAGCCGCAAGGGAACAGCTAGTCACAAATATTTACGTTTTCTTATTCAATAAAAATTTTATGATAATCGATACCATACATTTTAGTAGTCACTTTAGTTAAATTCTTCTGTTTATAACGTTGAAAATTATGTTCAACATCGTAGCGTACATTACAATGTTCATTTTAATGTGAAAAGGGTTTTTATCATTAAATATGTAAGTGCAGACAGTGTCTGGACAGTCGTGGAATGCAAAAGGTCGTCAACAAACGCACTCGTTGGAGGCCATTAAAACGAGACAAGACACTCAACAAAGCTTTTCATTTATCTACATTTCTACTACTTTTTTATATTCCTCGGAACATTTGTAGCTTCCTTATTATGTTTTTAATTGCTACAGAGTATAAGAAAGCAGACGCATTAGAGAATTTGTTTAATTCGACATGTTTTCCTATTATAAAAATTACACAATTAAATGTTTTCATTCGTAAAAGCCTTTTCACGTGGTGTGGCATTTTAAAACGAAGTTTGCATCTAGCAATTAAATAAAGCAAGCCTGCACGCTTCTATAAGTTCGAAAAAGTATTTTTGTATGTTAAATTAAACATGCCCTTTCAACTTTAAGAAATAATTTCTTCACTTAGTTAAAAGTGTGTATTTGTAGAACCGATTTAATTAACATAGTTTTTAGTATTACAAGTTTGCCTCCAAAAGTTGACATGTACTTGCCAAAGAAATTGTTATTCTAACAAATCTTCAAACGCACGACTAGTATAAAGAAACCTTGCCAGTTTTTGCAATACGGCAGCAACATGAGGGCATCTTAGTGTATTTCAAATGTTTGTACACAGTCGACTGGCACGTTGTTTAGTTAAAGCAGTTATCTGATAAGATACGTTGTTGTCGACGCGACTCAGCCACGTTGAATGTCTTGCAGAACAGTCTGATAATGACAATGCATGAAATTTATTTAATTGCCCCTGCTACTGAATTATTGCGATAGTCAAATAGTACAAATAACAGGAAATAATAAATAGTTCTATCATTACAGCATACATTTTTGTTGCATGTATAAAGTATAAGATTTTACATTGTAGACAAAACTTCCTAATGAACATTTACGTCTATGTGTTCATTCCTTAATAGCTTTATAGATTAATCCGATAACACGAATCAATTGATGGCCTCAAGGTTAAAAACCACGCGATTTACTAGTTACCGATAGAGCGCGAAGCGAGTCGATAGATTTAGATGTACAATAGCATTTTTTATACCATCAGGTTGTCTTTTTAATAAGTACAAAATTATATTGTACCAAAAATCCACCGCGCATTTTATTAATGCTGGGTTGCAGAAGTTTCCAAATAATTTCATCGTTACCTAGTGATACATTATTGTTAGGTTGACCTAAGTTTTAATGGAGTAAATCTCAAGTTACGTAGTTCGGAAACGCATTTCTAGTATGGTAAATGCTAACAACAAACCAAAAACACTAACGAATGGTTAGATAGGAAATCGGCCATAAATAAATCAACGATACTTTATGGAAAAAAAAAGGAATTGCTAATCTTACGTATACGAGTACGTTAGCGAAAAGTTTAACTGAAAACTAGATACAGGAGGAAATATAGGTATAGGACATAAAGTATTGATTTCTCTGTTACTGTGACGTAATCAATCTAGACCCAAGAGCCTTTTCTTCCTAACTTGTTTTATCAATATCATCAGTTCTTCTCTAAAGAAATAACAAACTTTTGACTTTATGGTGCATTTCTTATCGTGCATATTATCCCAAATTATCGTTCAATGTTTCCAATTAAATATCTGCATAGTCGATTAGTTAATTAGAAGTTTGATATAAAAAGGATTTTAAAATAGACCACAGACGTCGCGCCTACATAGACAGGACAGGACAACCGCTATCCTGATAACAATCGATATTCTGCTTACATAAATAGCTTAACGGATCTTTCAGTCTTAACATCCTTTGTTATTTTTATTGACACACATTAATACTCATAAAACTTAAATCTACTGAGGTACTTAATCCCATGTTACCGTACGACAATTCGAACTACTTCAATGAATGTAGAGAATTCAATTCAAATTTATAAGTGTTCTTTGATCAGTTACGTATCAATGCTTGGTCTTATAATTGGTGGCTAAAAACGACAAAGAACAAGAGTTTGGACGCAACACTGCCAAACGCAGTGTAAGGCGACCCCTCTCTAGATGGAACGATAACCTCTACATGCCGGATGTTGATGAGTGCATACTTGTTGCGCAAATTTTATGAAAGGATGCCTAAACAAGCTTATTATTGTCATGAACTTTAAGAGACCATTTAAAATTATATACCTTTATACTATACTAATATAACAAAGCGTAAACACACACTACTTTGTGGCATAAGATGACAGCAATCTTTGTATATTTTTGGATAATTCTTTCATTAATAAAAAGCACTACGCTTACATCACGCTTTAGGCTATATATTTTCACGCTATTAAACTTAGAGGGTAAATAAATTGGATGAAAACCCTAATGTGGACAAGGGACCATAACTACAAGCTGCATCAAGGACGTAAGTGTTATCATGTTATGTCATTTTGACATTTGCAATTGATAATTTGACAAATGTAGACAACAAAATAAAATTTTCATATGGTAAATTAATGCGGATGAAGCCGTACGGGAACAACTAGTTATTTATATTACCTCTTTGTCTACCAATATCATGAACCACTACTTTATACAATTTATTGGCTTTAGTTGACATAATAATGAATTGAACAAAAGAAAATATTTTCTCCTAACTATGATTATTTCATCTTGTTTAAGTCAATCTGAAAATCGTCCACAGACAATAAAATCCTCTTAGTGATTAATTCAATTGTCTCTAGAGAAATAGAGAATGGCTGAAATATCACGAGTACATTTTAAGCGGACTAGACAAATTATTAGATCACATGGGGTAATTAGTCTAGTCTGGTTGGCGCTAAATAATTGTTAAGGTCATTGAATTTATATCCATTACTACAAGCACAATTTAGTGTTTATTATTTGATCATGAACATAATTTTTTTTATATTTGTAACAATAGATTCCAACGAAAAGAACTCGTTTCTTTAATAAACGTGTAGAAAGCTTTTTTG